TTCTATTTCATTCCATTCCATAATTCTTCTCTTCTCTCCTCCTATCCAATCCATTCCATTCCAATATTCTATTTTATTCCATTCCATATTTCTTCTCTTCTCTTCTCCATTCCATTCCATTATTCTATTCCATTCCAATATATTCTATTCCATTCCATCCCACATTTCTTCTCTTCTCCATTCCATTCCATATTTCCTCTCTTCTCTTCCCTTCTCTCCTCTATTCCGTTCCATTCCATTCTGTTGTCATTAACTTACAACAATTCGTTTAGTGACCGTTTGAAGTTGCAATGGCACTAGAAAAAGTAACTTTCGGCTGTTTTTCACACTTACGATGGTTGCAGCAACCCCATGGTCATGTGATCAAACTCAGGTGCTTGGCAATTGCCTAATATTTGTGCAGGCCCGGGTGCCCGGGGGGGGGGGGTGTCACGTGATCCCCCTTTGCAACCTTCTGACAAGAAAAGTCAATGGGGAAGCCAGATTCACTTAACAACCATGTGACTAACTTAGCAACTACAGCGATTCACTTAAGAATTGTGGCAGGAAAGATGGTAAAATGGGGCACGACTCACTTAAGCTATCTTGCTTAGTGAGAGAAATTCTGGGGCTCAAGTGTGGTCATATGTCGAGGATTACCTGAACCTCCTTCCAAAGGACTGAGCTTCTGGATTCAGCTGATTTTTTTAAAAGTCGCTTTCAATCAAAAAAATAAATGGGAAGACAATATACTGCAAAACCAGCCACTTGCCTTGGCCTTAACCTTGATTTCTAAGATTTTATGATTCTAATAAAGGAGAATATTTGTAGCTCAAGGTTTAAATGAGGGGGCCCTTGGAGGTCTCTGCGGATGATTGTTTTCTTGCAGACATTTCATTACCCAACTAGGTAACATCATCAGTGCGAGGAGGAGGATTGTAGAGTTCTTGTTGCTCTCTGAGCTTGGGTGTTTTCTTGCAGATGTTTCATGACCCAACTAGGTAACATCATCAGTGCTAGAAGGGAGTGGGGTTTGTG